CATCAGCGCTGAGGCTGAGAAAACTCGGCGAGCTGCAGACGCCGAGGCAGAGAGGCAGAGGGCGCGGCTACAGGCTGAGATCACTGCCTTGTCTCTGCAAAATCGGTAATTTATTTCATGACTGACAAAAGAAACCGAAGCTCAGGTTTTTGTATTTTTCGTTAGCTACGAGTCGTAACGGGCTCGTTTTACTTTCGAAAAAAACAAGTTACTATTTATAGAAAATGTTTTAACAAATATTATTTGGATGATTTCATAATAGTCTTACTCAAAATTAGTATTTTTACGTTTTTATTACTGCCTCACATGACAAGTTAACGCAGAATGTCTGTTTATCATGTTCATCAAAACACAGTTTTATCCAAATTAACATTACAGACGCCTCGAACGCCAAATCGAAGTCGAAAAGGAAGAACGCATGGCGCTGGAGCGGACCAACCAGCAACTGTCCTCTTCCATGGTCGACCGCACCAACGCCGAAGTGAAGGCGGCTCAGGCGAACGCGGCAGACCTCAGGATAGAGCGGGACGGGATGAGAGAGGAAGTGAGACGGCTAGAGGCCCGCGTTGCGGAGCTGCAGGTGGAGTGCGCGCGCGCCGCCGCGCAGGCTGACACCGCGCACCAGCAACAGAAACATTACAAGGTGCGTTCCTAGTAAAAATGAAGTACACACTTACAACATATTGGTCAGCCAAGGCATTTTGTAATAGTCCATATTTTATACCGGGAGTAACAAAAGCGGTATAACAAGCCGAAAGGAGGTCAAAGTACTCATGAAACTGAACAACTTTGCCCATGGAACATGAGTCTAAATATGAAAAAGTTTGGACCTCCCATAGTAAATCAATCACAGCTGATCGGCAATGTAGTATAATTTTTTTTTTGCTTGTTATATACCCGTTTTGTTACTCCCTGTATGCTTTTTATTCGTACCTAGTTCCTTGGGGAAAATGTTATGTTTCACGAGCTGGTTCACCGTTTCAAAAGGACAAAATACTGCTACTAACACCATCTTGCTATGTATTGATTCTATTATAGAAATGTTGATTTTGTATACCCAGAATATACTAGAAGAAGCGAAGGAGCTGCGACACAGGCAACTCACAGAAATCAACGTGAGAGTCATTGTAAGCCTTATAGGTAGTTGTAGAAAACTTTGTAGGTAATACATAACCATCTAGAAAATTTTACCTTTACGTTCTTTGTCCACTACTTCGCTCTAGTACTCTGTAAAAGTTGAATAAGTATTTGTTTTTTTTTCATACGTGTTTCTTTTATCTTAGTATCTTTGGCTGTAGTTCTTACTTTTCCGTTTTCATTTCTTTGTAGCTTTATTTAGCGTAGTTAAAAGTAGTAAAATTTATTACAGCAGATTGGAATACACAGGTATTGTAGCAAATGTTTCATCTGTACATTAAAGATTAATCAGATATTTATAAGTTTCCTCCAATTTTATTTTTGTTGCACAGGACACGATAGCTAAAGAGCGCGCCCTGCGCCGTCAAACGCTAAGCGGCGGCGAGGCCGAATGTCGCGAAGCCGGCGCCAAACTCGCACAAGCCGAAGCCAACTTAGCCAAGGAAAAACGCACCAGAGAACAGATAGAGAAACGCCTGGAAACCATTGAAGCCGAGAACAGGACGCTACAGAAAGAGATAGATGAGATTAGAAAGGAGTTGTCGCAGTCGCAAGAGATGCTGGGAGAGAGGAGGCGGTATGCAGACCAGTCCACGGATCAGTTGCGGGAGGCGCAGACGCAGCTGGCGCATGAGAAGGCCAGGGTCACTGCGTTGCAGGCGCAAGTGCGGGTAAGTTTGGTATTATTTATCTTGGAAACTTAAAAATACGTAGCTACTTTTGAATGTGGTATTTTCTGACAGCTATTATGAAGTAAAAATTAGTATTTAGTAAAATCATTGATAGATGGCGCTGACTGAGTTGCACTGACCTTTTTTTGATAACCATTAATTTAGTTCATGTATGACAATCAAATCAGTAAGTGAGTTTTATGGGAGCAAGGAAAAACGTTTTGTAAGTTAAGGGTGAGAATCCACCAGAGCTGTGCGAGGTAGCTAAGCGGTGTGCGAGGAAAAAATCCACCAATAGAATCACTTCATTTTCCTAGCCTCGCTCAGCTCAGCTCTGGTGGAATAGGGTTGAGCGAAGCGAGGCCATTCTACATACAAAACAAGCGAGAAATGTGTGCGAGGGATGTGTTGCGAGGAATGTGTAGCGAGGAATGTGTTGCGAGGAATGCGTTCCGAGAAATGTGCTGCGAGGTTTCCACTACATCGCATTCCCCCCTGCTCACACATTTCACAGCTTCGCAACGCATCCTCGCTCCGCACATTAATGCGCATTTTGACAGCTCCGCTACGCATCCTCGTACGACACATTTTACTCGCACAGCTCTGGTGGAAACCCCTACACATTTCCACAGCACAGCTACGCATCCTCGTACGACACATTTTACTCGCACAGCTCTGGTGGAAACCCCTACACATTTCCACAGCACAGCTACGCATCCTCGTACGACACATTTTACTCGCACAGCTCTGGTGGAAACCCCTACACATTTCCACAGCACAGCTACGCATCCTCGTACGACACATTTTACTCGCACAGCTCTGGTGGAAACCCCTACACATTTCCACAGCACAGCTACGCATCCTCGTACGACACATTTTACTCGCACAGCTCTGGTGGAAACCCCTACACATTTCCACAGCACAGCTACGCATCCTCGTACGACACATTTTACTCGCACAGCTCTGGTGGATTCTCACCCTAAGAAATGCATTAAAAGATCAAGAACTTCTAGTTTTTGACCTTGCGAGCGTTTGCGTGCGTCTGTTTCTAGCGCCATCTACCGATGATTTTAGTAACCGCTATGTACTAGGGTTTTTATATTTTAATAGCTGCTGTCAAAAAAGGCCTCAACTGTAATAAACTTTATAAATAATTTGGTAATCATTTTTTTTAAAGAAAATCAATCATACTTTTTTAAGCGCATTCAAACCACGTTTGCGAACTAAGTCTTACTGTGATTGGATACAATATGATTTTCTTATTTTTCCCCTATGATTCGTAGGAATTAGAGCGCGGTATAGAAGAGGCCGGGCGACGGGAGGCGGCTTTGGAGGAGCAGTGCTCGAGGACAGAAGCCCGGTTCAACGAGCGGCTAGAAGTGGCTGAGGCCAGGGCTGCAGCCGCGCTCAAGGACGACGCCAGGCATCGGGAGAAAGTAAGACTCATCTGTCTCTTACGATTCATAGGAGTTAGAGCGAGACAGAAGCCCGGTTCAACGAGCGGCTAGAAGTGGCTGAGGCCAGGGCTGCAGCCGCGCTCAAGGACGACGCCAGGCATCGGGAGAAAGTAAGACTCATCTGTCTCTTACGATTCATAGGAGTTAGAGCGAGACAGAAGCCCGGTTCAACGAGCGGCTAGAAGTGGCTGAGGCCAGGGCTGCAGCCGCGCTCAAGGACGACGCCAGGCATCGGGAGAAAGTAAGACTCATCTGTCTCTTACGATTCATAGGAGTTAGAGCGAGACAGAAGCCCGGTTCAACGAGCGGCTAGAAGTGGCTGAGGCCAGGGCTGCAGCCGCGCTCAAGGACGACGCCAGGCATCGGGAGAAAGTAAGACTCATCTGTCTCTTACGATTCATAGGAGTTAGAGCGAGACAGAAGCCCGGTTCAACGAGCGGCTAGAAGTGGCTGAGGCCAGGGCTGCAGCCGCGCTCAAGGACGACGCCAGGCATCGGGAGAAAGTAAGACTCATCTGTCTCTTACGATTCATAGGAGTTAGAGCGAGACAGAAGCCCGGTTCAACGAGCGGCTAGAAGTGGCTGAGGCCAGGGCTGCAGCCGCGCTCAAGGACGACGCCAGGCATCGGGAGAAAGTAAGACTCATCTGTCTCTTACGATTCATAGGAGTTAGAGCGAGACAGAAGCCCGGTTCAACGAGCGGCTAGAAGTGGCTGCAGGTGCTACATCCGCGCTCAAGGACGACGCCAGGCATCGGGAGAAAGTAAGACTCATCTGTCTCTTACGATTCATAGGAGTTAGAGCGAGACAGAAGCCCGGTTCAACGAGCGGCTAGAAGTGGCTGCAGGGGCTACATCCGCGCTCAAGGACGACGCCAGGCATCGGGAGAAAGTAAGACTCATCTGTCTCTTACGATTCATAGGAGTTAGAGCGAGACAGAAGCCCGGTTCAACGAGCGGCTAGAAGTGGCTGAGGCCAGGGCTGCAGCCGCGCTCAAGGACGACGCCAGGCATCGGGAGAAAGTAAGACTCATCTGTCTCTTACGATTCATAGGAGTTAGAGCGAGACAGAAGCCCGGTTCAACGAGCGGCTAGAAGTGGCTGAGGCCAGGGCTGCAGCCGCGCTCAAGGACGACGCCAGGCATCGGGAGAAAGTAAGACTCATCTGTCTCTTACGATTCATAGGAGTTAGAGCGAGACAGAAGCCCGGTTCAACGAGCGGCTAGAAGTGGCTGAGGCCAGGGCTGCAGCCGCGCTCAAGGACGACGCCAGGCATCGGGAGAAAGTAAGACTCATCTGTCTCTTACGATTCATAGGAGTTAGAGCGAGACAGAAGCCCGGTTCAACGAGCGGCTAGAAGTGGCTGAGGCCAGGGCTACATCCGCGCTCAAGGACGACGCCAGGCATCGGGAGAAAGTAAGACTCATCTGTCTCTTACGATTCATAGGAGTTAGAGCGAGACAGAAGCCCGGTTCAACGAGCGGCTAGAAGTGGCTGCAGGGGCTACATCCGCGCTCAAGGACGACGCCAGGCATCGGGAGAAAGTAAGACTCATCTGTCTCTTACGATTCATAGGAGTTAGAGCGAGACAGAAGCCCGGTTCAACGAGCGGCTAGAAGTGGCTGCAGGGGCTACAGCCGCGCTCAAGGACGACGCCAGGCATCGGGAGAAAGTAAGATTTACAGATTCGTCTAACCACTTAATTATGATGAAAATAAGAACTCTTACAAAATGTCATGCATCGATCGGGGGTTGAACCCGGGCCGCATGGGTCAACGCCCCACCACTCGCCACGGAACTATCGATGCACCGGTCGATGCTTGCCAGATTTCAAACTCTTGATGCTCGTCTCTATGCGACGATCTACCGACATCTGGATCATGCTGCCTGGGCCCGGTCGATGCATGTTTTTTTTAACAATTTCTTATTTTCATTTATGAGAATAATATAGCACTGAGTGCATTATAATCCCAATACATTAAATTATGTTTTGAAAGTGATTCTATTAATTCCCTTCCTGTGTTGTCATCATAGTGAATACAAGACTTCAAATTCTTTCGGTCGAACTATTCAATCCTCTCTAAAAAAAGAGAAACACATGAATAGTACTAATACATATTATTTTCCCCAGGTAAACACGCTAGAACAGCTGGTACGCCAGTTAGAACGCGAAGTGAGCGCTCTGGAGTCACGTACATGTACCGGCTGCGAGGCTCGAACAGACGCGGGCGGCGACAGGAGGGAGCGGGATGGACATAGCGACACCGAGAGCGTGGGAGAGGGACCGCACGTCGCGCAGGCAGCCGTGCTCAAGGAACAGCTGGAGCGGGCTGAGGCGCAGTTGCAAGTACGGTTGCAAAATTACGTAATTTAAATTAACGCGGGTAAAATACACGTTTTTTACGGTAATTTATATAAATTACGGTAAAATTACCGGCTGCTTATGTATGGTGAAGCAGGGGGGGTGAATGGGTGTATACTGGTAGGCTCCATTTCTTACACGGACTCAGAATCTTTAAGTAGTAGTATAATTAGTTTTTTACCCAATCTTACCGTATTTTACGGTAAAATATAATATTAAACAACTGTACCGCTATTCGAAACATAAAACAAAATATGAGAGCGGCGATGCTTTTCCTTTTTAGGACGGTCGGTAGCGGCTATATCTGTCCCTTTCTAACACTGACATCTCTTTCTCGCATCCCCTCCGATTGCGACACGAGGCAGGCGCGCAGCGCTCTTGCCTTCATTGGTGATGTGCTTCCCGGCGGGAGCGGTCGTGGTGAGAAGAGAAAATAATTTCAAATCTTTTATTTAAATTATTTTCAATAACGGTTTTTTCCGTTCGAAAAAATTATCGTTTTCTTATTCGAAAATATTAATTGGTCTATATCTGTTCCTTTCATGAATTTTTATTTTATTTATGTGTAATTTTATTCCAGGTTTTATTTTTCAGCTTTTAATGATTGTTGCTTATGAGCTCGACATACATTTCTTATTTCCGAAATACGGAAAAGCCAATGTGCAAAAATACCAGGTGGATCCAATCTACATAAAAAAGGTTAGTCAAATACCATACTAAATTGAGAAATCAGTGCTTTAATTACGCCATATTTGTGAAAACACGTAATTTCCATACGTAAATAACAGTCAATTGTCATGCAATTGTCTGAATATCTTACGAGTTCTTCGTTAGCTGACGAAAACTTATTTAAAATGTGCTTCCATTCGAACACAGCCCTTGAAAACGCTTGGACCCAAAAATATGAAATTTATAATATAGCTTTCAAGTTCTATACCGTAGTAGCATGATTAGCTATTAATGCTATTATACGTAAGGTAAGCAACAATGTAATTTGAAAGTGTGACCTATAATATAATATTACGAGTGGGTTGTTCTTAACGTATCGGGTTTTCTATAAAACCTAGAAATCAACTCCTGCGCAAGGAGGTTTTCAGTGTCTAAAAACTCGTTAATGGGTGCTAAGCTTTTGTCCTCGCAAATATTTTGCAGGGTCACTCACATGTCGAAGCTAAAAAGTCCAGCATAAGTATGTAAAGTCCATTTCGATGCATTCCTCATCTTAATAATATTTGCCACATTGGGCACCAATATTTATTCTTTCTCTGGTATCATGTACCTAGAGAATGACATATTCGCGATCTCACTCAGACGTGGTCGCATAATTTCTAATTCAAACTAACCTTCAAGTACCTAACGAGCTCAGCTCTACAGCAGCGTTGTGGTGCAGTGCAGCTATGATACTCTCTCTAAAGTTAAAGCTCGTCATTCTAAAATGCACGGCAAATCCGTTTGGTACTACAAAAGTGCTAAACCTAAAATAACTAATCTTGCTTTTTATAAAGCTTCCAATTATTTTAAACAATGTCTAAGGCTAAACTACAAGGAAATTGCATGATTTTATTTAAAAATTGCAATACTTTTTGCTGCTAAGCAAAATAAGATGCAATAAAATTAATTTTAGTTGCAAAACTGCATAAAGAGCGCCTGCAAACTCAGCGCCTCAGACGAAAATACCGTTTACGCGCGCCAACGGCCCGCGCCATACCTACACGAACCATGTTCCTAAAAAATTACTGGCAGCGCGATACGATTTAGTCCTGCTTAAAATACTCGCACATTTACGTAATAAAAATCATAAGAAGATGTAAATGCGAAATTTGAAGTCGGTGAGTCATCCCAAACTTGTCCAAATGCTCACCTACGAAATTCTACCTGCAGTACGTCATGTTGCTAAGAGCCAACGCAAATATTACTGATTCTATGTCTTAACATTTATACATGCCCTTCGGCAATTTGAAAAAGATTCATGATTGTAAAACCTACTAGCGCAATCAATTCACTAAAATAATGATTCATTTCGTGCTTGCTTGCATGTCAACACGTGTTCTAAAATGAACATACACTGTGATATTTCACATACTACCCACTCACGTAAGCACTTATCATGTAACATTATACATGAAACAGACAAAGGGTAAGGAAAACATTACAAGCGGCTACAATATAGGTAATATTGGCCTGCCTGTCGTGGGTACTCGGAAAACCTCTGCCATTCGAAACTATCCTGAGGGATAATCAAATCTATTCCGTTCTCAAATCTAACGGATATGCAAAATTAATCTGTATGAGCATATTGTGAAAGTACCTAGTTACGTCACAGAAAAATTATTCACTGTCCTGTCACCTTTAATTTGGTAAACAAACTACATTTTCAAAGTTATGCGCAGATATCTAATCTCGCAAAAAACATAATACGAAGCGTTCGAAACGAACCTATATCTAAGCTAACATACCTATATAGAGGTAGGTACTATATCTAAGCATGAATTGACACTTAAAACTTAAACCTGTAATGTAATACAGAGGGTAAGGTACTTACCTACTTACCAACATAGCCCCTGAATAGTCCAGTGCATTCTACACAGTTTTATCATTGTGATAAAAACATGTCTAACTATCAGGGCAAATTTAATGCAGGTCCCAATAAAGAGAAGACCACTCTATTGCTTACACTCAAATCGGGTACAAGATATGTACTTATTACCCATAGTTGCTTTACCCAATCCTTAACCAACTGAGTCAATTCTCAAAGAGTTGACAACTATGACAAAAACTAGGGTATAGCTACTGAAATATTTCCATACTAATCTTACTAGCAAAATACTTGTTCATAAAGTTGACATGCGATTCAGAAGAATCAGAACTGCTAAGGTTGCGAAGAAATTCAGATTATCGCATCTGAAGGCAATTTCGGTCACAAAGTACCTAATCAACCTAATATATGATGCGTAAAGTAGGTACCAAGACAAGAAATGTGGCCCCTCCAAGACTGAGTTAAATTGTTCAGTTTAACGTTAATATATGCCGTTACCAATGGCGCCTTTGACAGGCGTTCCATAATTTTGACACAATCACATAAAATCATGCCTTTTACCCCTGTGGGATAGGCAGAGCGTAAAAACTTTTTAATGGCAAGTCGAACAAATATTCAAGGAACATTGTAACAAAATTGCATTGATGTCGTCGTCACGTTCGTTGACACGTCGTCAACCCATTGATTTAAATCCTTATAGATACACATGGTGCTCACAAGGACATAGTATAAATGGAATAACATTTATCAGCCAAGTATTTGTAGCAAGTCAAACTACTTTACCCCGTCTGACCGTACAAAGCCATGTCTGGTCAAATACGACATGTCCGGCCTGACCGAACTTTTAGCTAGGCCACGCACTTGAGGACACATTTTCAAACAAATGTAGGTACAACCCACAAATTCACGGATATGTTAAGTGCAATCGCAAATTTCAGTGCGTGCAGTGCAATCAATTTCTATACTACTCGCTCGTGTTTATATTTCTATGCATGTCGTTGTACAATCTCGTAAAAGAAAATAACATGCGGGCAGCGTACTTTTGTACCAGCCTACAAGTGTTGAGATCTAATACCTACATACTTACATACATACATATATCACGCCTATATCCCTTGCGAAGTAGGCAGAGCGTAAAAGGCTGTAAAAAACGGTCATTTACACCATATCTGACAAAGGTTTGAGAATAATTCAGAAGTCTGTATATCAACATAGTGATAGGTTGTCAGCCTGTTTTATAAAACTGCAAGTTAATGAGCTTTCGGTTTTGGTTGGTTTCGACACGATGTAAGCCCGGTTTTTCTACGTATATACCGCTATGGCTTGGCAACCCTATTCACGGACAGATTTATATGAAAAACATTAGTCGATATGTGAAGATTGCCTTTCATCCATACCTATATGAAACATCGAACTGTATTCCAACAGGAGTCGTTACGTATAATCTACCCTCAATAATGTTTATGATTGGAATATAATCATGGAATATGTGTGTAGGTACTTGGTAAGTACCAACTCACACGTTTTTTAGTAATACAGCGTTATTAAATGTTGTACAATGTCACGTACATTGTACAATTGTGTAAGAAATATCGTTGATGTTAATTTTATGTGGTTTGCTGGTTGTTATACGGAAGGAAATCACAATTAAGAAAGGCGTCAAATCCGAAGTGCGTCTAATGTCAACACTGAAGTAAATTGCATAGTTGTAAGTAGTAATGCATGGTGATAAGTGCGCGACCAGCGCGTTTGTATGAATCGCACGAATAGTACAGAGTCTTATTATAAAGGACCTCACAATAATGTCGAGTTAGCTTGTACATACACTAAAGAAAGCTTCAAATGCTGAATTCCTTAGAAATGCTTAATTCTTTAGATAAAGGATCAATATCAATACGAATATATTTGAC